CGCTGCTGCTGCTCGAGATGGAAAAATTGAAGTTTTGCTGCTGGACGCGCCACATCAACCAATCAGAGAAGCTGATCTGGGAGCTGACAGCGAAACAGACACAGCGCTCTGATGACATATGATATTAACGCAAATGGAAAAGGCTGGATGGATGAGGAGATGGTGATAGCGTAGCTGAGGGAGGTGTAGCCTATGTGAGGAGACCAGGTGGTTTTTTCCACGCATCACCATCGCTGCGTGCCCATCTCACAGCCGATGTGAAAAAAAAAGGTGAATCAAATGAACGCTGTGCTCGCCGTTATCCCGGGGGGTCTGACGAAGGAGCTTCAACCGCTCGACATCGGTGTGAACCGGCCGTTCAAAGTAAGGCTGCGAGCGGCGTGGGAGCGATGGATGGCCGACAGAGACCACAGTTTCAGGATAAGTGGAAGGCAGCGCCGGGCAAGTTACGCCACAGTTTGCGGATGGATTGTAGATGCTTGGACTAACGTGTCTGCTGGCTCTGTTGTACAAGCTTTTGCAAAAGCCGGCATTATTTCTGAGGAGCTGCGCTGCACGGAAAGTGACTGACAGCGAAGAAGGGGAAATTGGCATGTCTGATTTAGCGCAGCTGTTTTATTCAGAAACAGAGGATGATGACTTTGATGGGTTTGATAAATACTTTGTAATAAATACATGAATAAAGCACAATCCTACTCAGTTTTGCTCCCGCTCTATTTTTCTACCTGAAAACTTAATTCAACAGCAGCCTCTGGGCGGGTCTCCTCCTCTTCACCGCGGTGGCTGGCAGGTGTTTTTTCATCTAAATAATCTAAATCTTGCAGCTATATTTGCTGTGATCAGTGGGAATTAAGTAGTTTTATTATGTTTTTAAGTGAGAAAGTCCACCTGAAAACTTAATAATTGCAGTCAGTTCATCCAGATTATCTATTTCTGTCGGAGGCGCTCAGACCCCCACATACCAGTGGTGCGCCGACAGGAGAAATCCTTTCATCAGCAGCCTCTAGGCTGGGCAGCCTCCGGGTTCACGCGGTGGATGGCAGGTGTTTTTCATCTAAATAATTTAAACTGCAGGCACCCATAAAAGCGAACATATTCCGTCGGCAGGTTTCAGGTTTTAAGTTAATTTAGGAGTGATCACAGCACTGTGTCATCTGCGATGTGTCTGTCTCACGGCCAGCTACCAGGTTTGATTAATACTTTTTTATAAATACATGAATAAAGCACAGTCATACTCAGTTTTGCCCCCGCTGTATTTTTAAATACGCAGTAGAGGTATTTAAAGGTAGTAGAGGACATGTACCTGTATATAAAAAACGCGCCCTATAGTCCGGTGCGCCTTATGTGTGTGTTAAATACAGAAATGGGACACATAACTGAGAGTGCGCCTTTTAGTACGGTGCGCCTTATGGTCGTGAAAATACGGTACTGTATTTTTGCTATTAGTCTAATTCTTGGGACATTCCAGCTCAGGGTATCACTGCTGCCACCTTCTGGTTTAAAGGGGAACTGTTTGGTGAATTATCTCCACAAGAGCAACAAATCAGGCTTCAGCCTTGACCACAGAGATGGCCAATGATTGGCTATAGCCCCCCCATCTAACTATACCCTTAATCATTGTAGCTAGCTTCTCTTCTGGTAGTATTCTGTGTTCAATCTATTAGAATGACTTTATTGTGTTTAATGAGTTTCATCATAAATAAAGAGATTTGTGTCTGTGTATGTTTTATATCAGTGAGCTGCTGTCTCTAAAGGTTAGTGCTGCAAACATGCCCTTCTAGTTAATGATAATACTGTGACATTTATTGCCATGTTGATTAATGATTATTAAGTTCCAATTGAAGTTATATATTCAAGCTTTGGGTAAACAAACAAAAATCCAAAACAGGTTGAACAATTATGCGTATTGGTAAATTTAGCTGGTCATCATAATTGGTAAATATATTTGTTAAATGCTAGTAACCCATTAATCCAAAGTATTTACATAAATTTTCTGATTTTTGGTGGATGAATTAAAATCGTTCATTATTATGTTTGTAATACATATTTATAACCAGCTATGATAACTTCGCCACACAGCTAAGAGACGCACTGCATACATTAAACACATTTCCATCAATGAATGCTTTGAATTAGATAAATAGAACATGATACATTTTTTTAAATAATTTGTCTAAACATTATTACATTTGACTCAGCCTCAAACAAACACTGGAAACACACAAAAAGGAATATTTCTGATCCCTGCAGAGATTGGTCACTGAGGAGTGCTGGTGTAGCCAAACCGGCAGCGTCCCTCATCACTTACGACAGTGACATATGGCTCCAGTGGGCATCTCCAGCCTCTTCTCTCTCCATTCATCAGCTCAATGACATCTTAAATTTTAAAGCTTCTAGGCTGTCAGAAAGTAAGCTTCAAAGTTTCTTCTTTCAATAAATCAAAAGCGCGGTTGGCCTCCACCAGAGTCAGAAACAGCTGAGAGGAAATGCAGCTTCTAAATGCGCACTTTGTGTTTTTGTTTCATTTTTCATTTTTATTTTCAGGGACCAAAGAGACTGAGAAAGTGAAAAAATTCAAAGCAGTTAAAGCAAAACAATTTCCCACTAGTTAATTAAAGATTGCTGAAACCAAAGGCGACCCTTTTAGACATTTAGAAATACCAATATCTTAACCCACCTTGAAACCGTTATTAAAACTGTATTACAGAATCCCAAAATGTGTAAAACATGCAGAATGAATGGAAAAAAAAACTTAAATTAGTTTTTTACTTGATTTTTTATCATGATAAAAAGCTTGGTAAATGGCTATCAAGTATTTGCACAATTAGTTTTTTTTTCCTCTTCAGCAGATGAGTTTGGCTTACATGTTTTCACGTGTTCTGGATTTCAAGCCTTTGTGTCATCTCAAATATGACAATAATGGCTTAATATATATATTAAAAAAAGTTCTTCTAAATCTACTTTCCAGTGAAATAAAATTAAAAACAAGAAGATCAGAAATGTGGAAACTTTTGGCTGATCAAGAAAATAATTGCTGAAAAGATTCCTCATTGTATGTCATTGTGAAAATGGAGCCCATAAAGAGAGGGAATCTTCTGAAAATCAAAAACAGCAAGGCCAACAATTCCCTTTAACAACCCCCCTTTCAGACACTTAGATGGGTATGGGGCATTGCAGGCTAACAAGAGAAGCCAAACGACCCCCATCCCAAAGGGGCGGCCCTGTTCGTCTGTTTCAACTTGCAATATTTTTAAAACAAAAACAAGGTTTTGTTGGAATGCTGTTTCTGATATTTCGAACTTAAAAAGCTTCCTGGATGGGAAGCGAAACGTCTTCAAACTTGGAAACAAAGTGAAGTGGATTGTTTTTATTTTTTTGAGACGGACAGTAGAAAAAAGTCTAAAATAGAGACATCAAAGTTAAAGCTAGTTTATAAAGATGGATCTAAGGGTGAGAAATGAACAGAGTCAAACATTCAGAAGAGAGAGACCACCAGAGTTTGGCGGACAGCTGAGCAGCTAAAGACTGTATCTAATGGTGGAGAAAGAGTGAAGCTGATGGATGAATATCCCAGATAGAAGAAGCTAAATTATTCATCTGCTGGTTGGTCAAAGATAAAGTGAGTAGCTCCATAATCCAGAGGGAGATAGGGCTGTTTGTTTATCTGATTTGAATACAACCTTTAGGAAACGTTCAGGTCACATTGGAAGAAGATCCATTTTTCTGGTCTTTACGGATGTTGGCAGCAATATTTTTTATTGGTCAATAGTGAGAGTTTGCATTGGGCTTAAGGTGAAGAGAATAGGCTCCTGAAAATGCAATTTGCAAAGGGAAAATTCATAAAATTAATCTGAAAAAGGAGAAATTTGAAAAATTATAATTGAAAATATTAAATCTGTTCTGAAAATGTTCATGATGAAGTTGTTAAATGTAAATCTTATGTTGAAAATACCACTGCCACTTTTGAAAATTGAAAAGAAAATTAATATATATATTTATACATGTATATATAAAATCAGTTCTTAAAAAAACTAAGTAAAGTTTTGAAATATAGAATGTGAAAAAATAGAAGAAAAAAATATTTCAGAAAAGCCAAGTTTCTCAAAGTTGCTTTTCTGTAATGCATTTCTGTATTTCAAAATTTCCAAACCGGTTCTTTGCTTTCTAAAATATTGGAACAAAATTCACTCCATAAAGGTGGAGCACATTGTTAGGTGCAAGAAACAGGATTTAAGCAAACATGATTCTCTTTGAAAATCTTTAGTATTCAGATGAGAACGCTGTATTGGTGCAATCCTTAGGTGAAAAAATACACCTATAATTGAGGCGTACATCTCTATTGTTTTGCATTTTCATTTGTGCTGTGATTGAAATCTATGAAGCGAGAACATTCGCTGTGTTCCACAAGTCCCGACTAACTGTGCTTGATGGATGCACAAAGGCTGCAAGAAATATGTGAGCCGCTCCATCATCATCGATCACTACAGCGCTGGGAAACACAAAGGGGTCATTAATTGGTTGCCTGGGTGCCTGTAAATGTAATTAGTACATTGAAATTGGGCCACAGGCTACAAGGCGCACACCTGCACATCTGGAAAGCCATACATCATTTTTTGCATCCATTGTCCTCTGCAATGGTGCAGATAAAGTGCTTTTGTAACCAGCATTTGGCGCGCTTATCAAAGGAGATTCTTTGCAGCGTTAGCTGATAATATGAGGCTCTTGTTTGTACCAGAGGGAGCAGAGATGCATACATTTGTCATAATCTGTTAGCTTTATCTGCCAGTTGTTAACGCTGAAAGCGATTCTGTTGTCATCTCCTTGGATGATGCTTTATAGCCCCAGACTATCCTCCAGTGTGGAACCAACAAGCCACATCTCTCATCACTGTTCTAAGTTTTTACATTAGCTGGTTGGGATTAAAATGCTTGATGGATGTTGATGTATACAATGACACAGCTAACATCACTGTTTCTCTGATTTTTTTTCTTTTCCTGCAGTTGTACAGCTCAGTCGACTTCGGAAGGAAATGGATGCTCATCCATGAGCACGTCACCCCAAACAGATTCTACTGGTGAGTCATCTTTGTTCCTCTCTCTGCTGCTGCATTCCACATCTCTCATGTTATTCTACTCTGGAATGCAGCAATGGACTAAGGGTTTGTGAGTGGCAGTGATTGTGGTGAAATCCTGCACATTTATTCAGCTCGATACAGTGAGCAGGAGGCTGATCTCTGACTTCAGAAACACCTGACTCTGCAGTACCACCTGAAGAGCCTTACACCTCTTCACATCATGTCATTTTATTACTTAATACATGTATTCTAAAACAAATTTAAGTATTTTTTTTTCTCAATGTAAAGCACTTCATAATGACAAGGAAGAAGCCTTCTTGGAAAAATGAACAGTTGTTTTTTTAATGCCAAATCCTCGATAATCCGGGGTTTTATAAATATTCTTGGCAGGTATAACCTGTCACTTCATGTTTTTAAAGCCCCTTTGGCAGCATTCACAACCTCATGTCTTCTTAGTCTGAAGTAATGAGAATGAGGAAGATATAGAACTTAATTTTTAATGAAAATAAAATAATGCATAAGCTTATTTTATTGGTTTGTCTGCACTACCGCTTCCTGCAACTAAATATTTCTACAGGAAAATATTTAGCTCAAGTTTTTAGGATCGAGATCAGATGCAATCCAATTAATTTCATATAGCTGGTGCCAATTCACAGCACAAAGACTATTCAATGAGATCATCCATTCAGATGGGTTTTCTATCTAAGGCAGAGATTTTCAACAGGAGGTCCGCGACCCCTAGGGGGCCCACGAAAGTACTGCATCGGGGTCACGAAAGTTTTGGTGTTTTGGACTCTTTTTTTTTCATATATTCTCCCCTGCAATTTTTTCCACCAATTGAAATGTCTTTAAATCCGCATTAACATGAACTCAACACACTGTATTAAACAGATAAATGGAGGCAGAAGATGTCTTTCAGTCATCAATGCACACATTCAGCGACACACAGGAGCTCTTTCAAGCTGGGCACCGTTTGATTCACAACACCTGTCCCATCAACCTGGAATCAGAATCAGAAATACTTTATAGAGTGACTATAGGACCAGTTTAATATAACACAATTTCATATAGTATATAGATAATGAGGGGGTCCCCGCTCCATCTCGCCCTCAGTATGGGGGTTCTTGGCCTGGAAAACTTTGAAGACCCCTGATCTAAGTAAAACCAGCTAGTTGAATTGAGTCAATGACTTGGCAGGATTGGCCACAACCAAACTTGCTTGTGAACCTTCCGCCACAACAATCCCGCTCCCTTGATAAACAACCAATCACATGCACTTTATTCACTCGTGTAAAGTCGTGCACCGCTCCGGAGAATTCAGAAATGCAATGGTTGGAACAGCCGCTTCCCTAAGTCTCTTTTGCTAAATAATAATGAAACTGTATGATCAGTTTCCATCAGTATTTCACATTGCTGTTTTTTTCTTATTTACCTGGTTTTCAGTGTGGTTCTAAGTGTTTAGAGTTGTGTTTAAACTAAAACAGCCAAAGCAGGAGCAGCACATCCCTTATGATGCACACATACAGATTTTGAGTCAGGACCTATGAGTAATAAGGAACCAGGGACGGTCCTGTCGCTTCATATCCACTCAGCCTCATGCTCTCTCCCCCTGTGGTGAACTAACTCTGTCTAAATGTGCACACTCATCAAAACGTGGAACTGAATACTGTCCAGCTCATGGCTGCTCTCCCCCTCCCTCTAGGAGGTGACTGGGCTGTGTCTGGGATGGCTTTGGGTTTTATTCTCCTACTGCTCATAAGATATTCTTTCATCCTGCTGTAGAGAAATCCTAAATATGTGCAAAATCCATCACTCACTGTACCCTTCATCACCAAAAGCTATTTCAAGGACACTGGAGCACTGGATGGGTCTGTGACAGCAGCCAGACTGGACTCCGGTTGGCTGAATCTGCTCTACAGCTCCATTGGCCTTTGAGGGATATTCAACGCTGCTGCATTGGGAAACCAGCTGCTGCCATCTTAGCAAATCCAACCATTGAATAATGAAAGACATAAAACTTGATCACACTAGATGTTTTTGGCTTTCTTTTATCTCTGCAGGATTTGTTATTTCCACTTGTAGTTGTCCACAATTTAGAAGAGACGTCAAGTTTTCTTAACAGCTGCAGAGAAAGAAGGGACTTTATCTTTCAAACTTAATATTTAGATTCACATCATTAACAATTTAGATGTGAGTTTACACACTTGTTGATTTCTGGTCAGGTAAAAGACAATAAAGGTATACCTTCTTCTTTATCATGTTGTCCACTTTTGTCCAATCCAGGGCAGAAAAGCAGGCCCAGAGCAAGATGCAACCGCCAACATCTACAGTAGGAAGGGTCAAATTCCCATTAAGCTTGAAGCTGTATGTTTTTAAGCTTCTTCTTTGGACCATCCTGGTCCAGGACGATTTTTAATTGGTTTTACTCTGAACAATTCCTATGGTATAGTCTAATTGCACAACAAACTGGAAACTTATTTTGTGGTTCTTAGAATTTCAGACCAACTTCCTTTCCTTTAGGGGGGGCAGTTTGGGTCTGATAGATTAACCCTTAGCAAAGATTTTGCAACTAGAAAATAATCATAGCCTTTCCCTGCATAATCTGATCTAAAAGTAAGTGTAAGAAAATCTGAAAAACGGTATATTTGCGTTTAAGGTATGCAGGTAAATAAGACTAGCAGCTAGTGGAATTGGTAGTTTTAACCTTTACAATGGATAATTTTATATTATGCTTTTAAAATAAGATAATGGAGTATTTTTTTTTTCTCATTTTAATATTTATTTAATTGGCAAATTGCCCTACATATGGTTATTTTACGTACTTGTAGTATTTCCCCTTAAAATACATCTAATTCTAGAAAAAAAACGCACTCATTTGGATGAAAATGTTTGCAGTCTTTATGAAAAAGTCATTTTAAAAAGCCTAAAGCTCAACAACATTAAGCTGTTTTTGACATGTGCTGTAAATTGGCGTCAATTCAATCGCATTTTCCATTTATTACAAATGCTATTGTCAATTTGTGGACTATGTCTAAAATCTTAGGGAAAACAAGACATATAGATGTTTAAATGAAAATCGTGGAGAATGGCAGAGCTTAGTTCCTATGGGACTTCCAGAAACAAAAAGTGACCAACCAACAGGACATGGTGATCATGGATAAGCAGCAGAGGACAACCATATTGAACAATGTGGAGAAATTATGAAAACAACAGAAAAAAGAACCTGAGACGTTTTAGAAATACCAAGGGTTTAGGGAAAACTAGGAAGAGCCTGGAAAATAAAGACAACGGTAGCGCCCGTGGTCATAGTAAAAAAATAGTATCACCAATAACTCTGCTTACATACTGATCAAAATAAAAACCATAGAGTGATTTCCTGAACCAGTAAATAACACATTCAACACTAAGTGGACATGCAATTATTCTTTTGTTTTCTACAAAAACATTGTGTAAATGTGTAATTCAAATAAATGGCGTTCATTTTAAGGCTTCTTATTTGTTGAAGAATTTCAAGCCTCTATCATTTTGGGCTTATATTTGCTTTCTATTCTTTGGCAACAACTCCAAAAAGCTGATTTCTTCTATTTTCCTCATCTTCAACATATTAATGATTCTAATTATGCATACATGTTTTTTCATTTCATCCCTGCCAGGTCAGTCTCCGGCCTGGACAAAGAACCAGACCTGGTCCACATGGAGGCTCACACACCAGAAGGAAGTAAGTGATTTTTGGCTCTAAATCAGAGGTCAGGGGCTGCTCTTTACAGGAAATAAATAACTAGGAGAAAAGTTTGCATCCATGACTAAACCCTGGGCTCCAGCTCAAACGAACACGGCCTCTTTCTTTCCCTTTCTCTTGCTGCATGTCAGCTACTAATCTCTAAATGGCATTGCAGTTCTTACTTTATACTCAGAAATTCAAGCTTTTTCTATGATTGACAGGATTGTTTATGATATATGTACGAGAAAACTAGATGGTACAAAAAGAAGCAAATCAAATGGGAAAATGTTAGTGGGTGTGGATGGGAGGACAGAACAGGAAAACATTAAAAGCTTTTTTTTGGTTTGATTGAGAACGATGGTGCAGAGAGATCCTGTCAGCTTATCTTAAACAGGTGATGCATTCTGTTCATTAGCATGCATGAGAGGAATAACAACTTTAACGGCTCCTGTGCTTCCAATGTGTGTGCCTGGCAGATGTGCAGTATGTCACATGCAGAGCTCAGATGTGCTCCGAAGCCAACAGGAACTACCCGTTCCCAGGATACATCGACATCAGCTCCCTGGTGGTCCAAGATGACTACATTTTCATACAGGTAAGACTCTAAACTGACTGTCCATTACTTAACCTGATGATCCATGTGGTCCAACTCGATTCCTCATCATACTCTTTGCAAATCAGTCAGGTTAAAACCACAAGCTTCAGGGTATCTTACTGGGTTTCTGTGTAATACACCAACATAAAGTAAAGCATGATCATGAAGTGGCTTATTTTATAACATATAGACCAGAAGTCACGGATTAGGAGACCACGGTCCAGATCCAGACCCACCTGCTGGCTAATCCAGACCCAACCTTTTTTACACATTTAACATTTATAAATTACCGCATGTTGTCAGATGGCAGTGTCTAAATTCACTTGCACGGCTTCTCCTGTTTTTATGGTAAAGCCCTCTGGAGCATCCGGCACAAGGCTGCATGTGATCCAAATGAGCCAATGAGCTGCTGTCAGTCTGGGTTGCTGCTGCTGCCACTTTTATGCTGCGTTCACACCGGACGCAGCAGGAGCAGCAAAATCGCATCTGCTGCTTCCTTTTTGCTGCCTGTACCAGTTTAGTTCTGACGCGCGACTGAAGCAGCTTTGCTGCTCTGGTTGCACGTTGAAAAAGTGGGTCTGACGCGTGTTGGGCGGAGCAAACCTATCCTTTCTTTGCCTTGCAGCTATATTTGCTGTGATCAGTGAGAATAAGTTATTTTAATATGTTTTTAAGTGAGAAAATACACCTGAAAACTTAATCAGTGCATTCAGTTCATCCAGATTACCACCCTGCCTTCCAATATTATTTCTGTCGGAGCCGCTAAGACCCCCTCATACCAGCGGTGCGCTGTCAGTAGGAATCCCATTCAACAGCAGCCTCTGGCTGGGTCGCCACCTTGCGGTTCACCGTGGCTGGAAGGTCGTTTTCATGTAGATAATCCAAACTGCAGGCACCAGGATAATAAAAGCAAACACGCTTTGTCGGCAGGTTTCACCATTTTAAGTTAATTTAGGCGTTAATAAACTGTTACAGATGAGTAATCACAGCGCTCTGTATCATCAGATGCTTAAATGCTCCCGACACGCTGCTTCAGCTGCTCAGACGCGCTGCGCCTGCTGCTGAAAACGAGCTGCGGGACATTTTGCTGCGCCTTGACGCGCATCAACCATTACCTTTGCCTGTAAACTCGCTGCGCCTGCTGCGTCCGGAATGAACTCAGCATTAGACACACCAGGCAAACCTCTGGTAAGCCGGGCGATGGGAAAGAAGGAGAAGAAAATGAGAAAAAAGAGCAGAGGAAGTGTGAACCGCTGGAAGAACTGTGGTGAATTGGTAAAAGAAAAGTTAAATGGTGACCCTGCACATTTAGAGGATGTTTGGTTCAACCTGCTTCTCGGAAGCAGGATTCTCCACCATCAACAGAATCAAAAATAAATATGGATCTAGGCTCAAAATGAGCACCTTGATATGTGTTTTAGAATGGCTTAGTCTCCATCCAAACCCAGGTTTAAAGCCTTGCAGGGCAGCCTGTTTTTGGTTGGGGTTGCCAAATGCAGTGGCAGGGAGGCAGAGGTGAATTTCTTGTAGATTTAATGAGTGATCACAGGTAGCAAAAACGTGAAACGAACAATTCAACGTAACCCCCCCCCCCCAAAAAAAAAAAAAAAAACACAAACCAGAACCATCAGGGGGAAAAAAATTACAAGGGGCCTGGGTAAGAAGAAGTGAAACGAGCAACCAGCACTGAGGAACTGCCCAAGGAGAGTTTTTATGACTAACTGAACAAATAGAGGACTAACGAGCAGATTGGGAGCAGGTGTGGAGAGAGCAGTCTAAGGAGTTAGGGAAAAAAGGAGACCAACACAAGAGGGCAACAGAGGGCAACAAATAAAAGCCTTAGAACTAAAATATATCCAGAAAATACAGCAAAATAAGAATTAAACCAATAAAACTAGAAAACATGGAAAACAAGTTAAACTGAATACTCAAAAGAAAAAATAACAGAACCAAGACTGTAACACAGCCTAAAGCCCACTGCTCTCATTAAGCCATAAAAAAGAAAGAAAAAAACAGTCAAGATTGTTATTCTCTACTTCAAAAACAATTTAGATTTTAAAATGGAAAAAATTTCTATTTTTTATATTTTTAATTTAAAAAGTTGATTAACATGGATGCATAAAACCTGCATTTCATTTTAGTGTTAAATGCAGTTCAAACTAAGATTATAATGAAAGATGTTTTCAGACATTCACTGGTTGTTGATTTTCGTTATTCGGACCCCACTGATTTAGACCAACTTGTCAAGAGCACTCACTTTGTTTTTACTTAACATGCCTGTTCAAACCAAAGCTTTACGTTATTATTTAAATGGTCAAGTGTAGCAAGGACTGTTCTGACTCCTATATTAGAAAAAACAGACAACTGTACAAACTTACGAGCCACTTAAAGATCAAAGGACACATCTCTGATGAACAGAGACAAGAGATGGTGAAGGAAGCCATCTTTGTTAAAATGGAGAAACCATCACAGATCAGAGGGTTGAAGTTTCACCTCCCAAAATTGTGTGTAATTCGGTCCAAGAGCTCATTCCAAAGGGGTTACAGCTCGTATCATTATTCAAAACAGCCTAAAACAGAGGCCACATAAAACAAAACACATAAAGACTGGATAAAAGTACCGGTTGAACTCCTTTACTTAAGTAAAAGTCCAAGTTCACAAAATTACACTCAAGTAAATTAAAGTTTTTACCATAAAACATGGACATCAAAAACTGATGTTGTCTAGTTTTGCTTAATTTAAAAGTTTTAGAGGGAGTAATATGCTGTAGATTAGCCGTGGAATAGTTTTAGGGCTCTGATATTCAGAAAATTTAATTTGCAAATAGCTTTTAAATTGAAATAGAACTTAAAACAGATTCAGCATATAAATTAAGAATTTTATAAAGGGGGGGAATTCATGGGGAATGTCTTGCGTCTCAGAATCTGATCCATAATCTGCAACGTTTCACAGCCCCTTCTAAAAAAAAAAATAGGCTCCAACCTATTTAAATTTAATAAGGTCATAAAAAATGTATAAACAAGGTTATAAATAACATTAAAATGATTGAAACTTAACTAATAATTTTTAGATAGCTCAGTGAAAATAATCCCTGCCAGTCCCTCATATGAAGTAGTTCTAGTCTAAGTTTCTCCCAGTTCTGACTGAGAGATAAAATGTTTGGAGTAAAATAATGCAAGCAAGCATCGGAGAAAAGCATCTTAGCAGGCAGAGAGATGGAAGTAAAGGTGAAGAAGGAGGATCTCATTATCTTAGAGGGATTTCGTTTCAAGTTGCCCTGCGATACACTGGCGACCTGTCCAGGGTGGACCCCGCCTCCCACCCGTAGACAGCTGGAGATAGGCACCAGCATCTCTCGCCTACCCCCAAACTTGAAATAAGCGTGATGGAAAATGAATGAATGAATGATTTTGTTTCAAAAATCTAATGATGTTTTGTATGTGTTGTAGAGGTATCCTAAATATCTGAAGGGAATTTAGTAGGTCATCCTTTTCAGGGTTTATCTACACCAGCTTTGTACATACAGAGACTAAGATTTCTGCTCGTTCTTTATACAAGAGCACAAAGAGACTGAAGGGAGAGCATCCAGGAATATTGATCTGGACTCTTAAATAGATTTAAGTTAAGACTTTGACTTTGTCATTCCAACATGAATACACTACAAAAGCAGCAGTGCTCAATTTGAGTATTGGAGAACTACTATACCGCAACTTTTAGTTGTATCCCTTTCTCACCACACCTGTATTGAAATAATGCTACACTACCAGTTCTCTGCAGAGCTAAAATAACGTGCCAGTGAGGGAATTTATCCATTTGATCCCTTTAAATCTGCAGTTACAACATAAGGAAATGGGGAAAAGATTTAGGGGCATAAATTCAAGGCATCTACAGAACATGAAATATCACTCATACTGTCTGGTGAAAAGGAAATAACCCACTTAACTCCAAACTATCTCTGACTTCTCTCAATTCTTCCTGGCTCAGCCAAGCGTTTGCAATCAATAAAGAGCTCATCAACTTAGAAGCTGCCATTCTCTCATACATTTTAAAGACACTGATTTGTCCACTGTGGTCCAAGGCTCTAACTGGAGAAATTAGTTGGCTGGTTTGTTGGGATATATATCAGGATTATAATAAAGGAACACTAAAACAATACAGCAGTTTATCTTCTATATTGGACTTTAAAATCTTTGTTTGTACGTCTCTCTTTCCTTTCTTCACCACTTGCTTTTGGACTCCATCTTGTGGAGGTCATGAAAGGAGTAGGTGCTCCACATTTACAAATGAACTGCTGCTTTCAGAAAACCAACACATAAGCTAAATATAAATATGTACCCTTACAGTAAGATTCGACATGTGGAAATGACAAGTAAAACCCATGTTTCACACGGAAAATGTCCTTATTATACACGTTATACACATGCAATCCCAATGTTAAACACGTGTGGTTTGCATTTGAGATACATGTGAAAACATGCAAATAACGTGTGAAGATCTGCTTCAAATCTGATTAAAATGTGCTTCAAATGTGGAGTACATGTGTTTTACATGGAAATTGGGTGTGAAAGCTTGAGTATTACTTGTGATTGACATGTTTTCAACTGTATCACATGTGATTCACATGATTTAGCAAGTAATTCATATGTGAAAACACATGAATCAGGTGTGATACTCCTATTTTCACATGCAATTTCTATTAAAGCATGTTATTCACATGTTTGTCGAATTCACATGTGCCTAAAATGTGAATCTAATTTCATTTTACTGGAAACCACTTGTTTCCAATCCACGCTCTTATGTGATTCACATTTGGTACATGTTTTTCACATGTGATTCTAACATGTGAAATTCAGATTCTGTAATGATTACAACAGAAAGCATGAGAGGGATAAAAGGTTTGCGTCTTTGCGAGACTATCTGATGGTAACCCATGTCAAATATACATTACCTGCTATGATGGCTCAAAGGTTTGGTTTTAATTCAATGCAATTCAGTTTATT